GATGTACCATGATAGGGGGATTCTAATGGTAAAGAAGAATGAGATAATAGTTTTAGAGAGACCAAACCATGATCAGAAGCACCTAAGGGTGAGTGTGAAGAAACTGAACACTGACTAGGATCAGAAACAAGACATAAGTCGAGTAGAGAAGGTAAATGATTCGCGTTATCTGGAAAGAGTTAGGGATTGAGAAAGACAAAAGTTGTGGGCCTTAATGCCTGCAGAGTCACTGACACTAGAGCCAAGCCATTCAGTGTGATGAACATTAAAGTCACCGACAACAACAGTATTGGCTGATGGATAAAGAATGAGGGCTTGGTCAATATAATCAGAAATAACACCAAGAAGAGTGCAGTCTTGGGATGAGGGAGAGTGATATAGAACAAAGAGAAAGGTGATAGAGTGAAGTGGTGCTAAACGAAAGCACATAAAAGAGTAGTCTGTGGATTCAAACCTAGTTTCCCGACAAATGGGTGAATTCTTACGAATGTAAATGCCCAGGCCAAGCATGTAACTATTGGAGTCTTTACGAATTAAAGGAAGATAACCATCAACACTAAGATCACAAGATGAGACAGCTGAACTCAAATTAGTCTCACAAAGAGCAAGCAGGTCTGGTGAACTTTGCAAGAGATAAGACTCAACAGAAGAAAAGTTACTTTGAAGACCACGAATATTGGCGAATGATAGGTTTAGCGAACTTGGTGATGACTGTGGTTTTTTGTGTTTTATATAAGGCATAACACTAACTTAATCTTTTCATAATGCCCCTACAAATCATAATAATGTTCAAATATACTTAAACAATCGTAATATATCAGATTGTCTAATATATTAAATAATGAATTGTGTAACAGAACTCAAAAATTTATTTATGTTTTAGAATTGCAATTTTGTGACAATTTGTTGAGGAGGGAGGGGGTTTTCAGTTTCGTGATGCAACCTTTTTTTTTAGTTTTAAATATAGAAAAACCTTTGTTTTCATTAAAATAGTGCCTAGCTAAAAACATACCTTAAACTGATGTATGTACATGACACTACTGCTTTTCCAATTTAACTTTAATTGGAATAGGCTTTTTAATTTGATTTAAATTAAAAGTCAGTAGATTAAACAAGACTTGGAATGTAGATTAATTTCAGACTTGGTATGCTGACCAAAAACAAAAAAAAGCAGACAAAGGCCAACAAGACAAATCAATATCTTTTGAGTCATCAGACTTTACTAGAAAAGAAAAACAGGTTTCCGAGGTTAATTTCATCATGGACCAACTTTTCGCTGAGATTGAAAGTAAAGGCAAGCATCTGCTGTACTTTAATTAAAAATAGTAGAGGTAAAACCAAAAAACTAAATCATCTGGATTTACTTCTGGTTACTCGATCAAAAAAACTTGGAAGGAATTGAATCCAATTCCCTTGAAAAAAAAGGAATTGAATCCGATTTCCTTACGTCAGTTTTTTCCTTAGGATGCTTCTCTCTGCAGATGTTATAAACTGTGCTAGAGAAAGGTCCTTTTTAACTTTAAATAGGGTGAAGAATGCTACAGGCCTAATAGTAGACAAATATGCCTGTCAGCTCAAAATAAATTATCTACTTAATTATGTAGCAATGTAACCTAGATAAAAATTATGTATTCTTCAGAAATATCAATATTTTATTTTACCTTACTGAAATGTTTTAAATTACAAAGTTCAAGCATAAAAAGTAAATAACTATAAAAACTATTGCTGAACATAATAACTTATTAAAAATTCCTTTAAAATGTTTATTTAGGTGCTAGAAACCAGAAGAAACAAAGTAAAACAGCATATTTACTTGTTAAAAAGTGTAAATAAACATAACTATGAAAAAAACAATTCAAAAACTTGCTTAGCTTTTTGATGAACTATGTATGATATATATGTTTTTCAAAGGATGTTAATTAAAAATGATATTCTGCATAAAATCAAAGTTTAGAACATTATTTCACATATTTCATATTTAGATAACACCTCTGATGTCTCAATAAAATAGCCTGCTGCCGGTGGCTGCTGTTGGCTACATACATTGACTAACTTATAGCATGCTCCACAAAAAAAGTGCTGCTACACTAACTGAAGATTTGGAATGGGGCAGTAATCTTTCTTTTCATTATTCTTTGTTTTTTTCTCCTTTTTCTGATAACACAGTATGCTTAAGGTAGGTAAAACTTAAGTTTTACCTACCTTAAGCATACTGTGGAAAAACAAGCAACAGTTTGTTATCTATATATGCTGTAGAAAGTAGCGTGTATTACATCATCCAAGGCAAGCAATATCCTGAAAACAGCTTGCCAATGTTGCTCCAGACTTGTCTACCATGCACTTTTACCTTTATAGTTTCAGCTTTAAAAGAAAAATTTGTGGTGAAATAAGAGGCTAATTTAATAATTACCCAATAATTAATTAAATAATTGATAAAAAATTAACCATAAATATCTCAATCAATACCTAAATAATTCAATTGCCAATATCTCCTCTATAATAAGAATTAACTCTGTACAACTGATAAAAGTTACCGCAACAAAACTACATTTTTTAGCATTACTGTGATTATGCATCTTATTATATGCAGTCATGATTCAAAAAGATTCTACCATTTATAATTATCATAGATAGTTAATTAATGCAAAATATGCGTTCTTGCAACTCGCTAAAATTCAGGTAATGTATGGGTGATTACATAGTTGTCAGCCAATAAGCAAAAATCTTATATGCTTTATTATACACTATAATTATGTGTAATCCATTTATTATTACCCTAGAGTAACATCATTTGCTAAACTTGAAAAACACACATTTTTATGAAAGACAGCAAGTCTGAACAAATTCTTACTCTACCTTTAAAAATGCCTAAAACAACTGTTGATGATATTATTCAGTTCATCAATTCAGCTAATAGCTTCAGTTTAGAAAAATTATACCAAATGATAAAAACCAACAATGAAATAACATATAAAACATACACCATTAGACTGTGAATTACAAACAAGTTTTGAGCTCACAAATACTAATTTTACTGTCTCCTAACAACAACAACAACAACAACAACAACAACAACAACAACAACAACAACAACAACAACAACAACAACAACAACAAGATATTTATTTTCCTTTTTAAAATTTACATATAATCATATAATAAAAATAATAATAATATTATCTATAATAATACAAACAATATAATTATAGTAAAATATAACTAATAAGAATAATTATAAATAATTATTTGAAAAGAAAGATGTCACTCAAACAGAAGCCTAATTAAAGTAGTGACACTAAATAATTATAACAATAATAATTAAAAAATAATTTTATCTATAATAATACAAATAATATGACGACATGAGTGTCACTCATGATCAAAATGAGTGACACCAATTAATTATAACAATAAGTATAATAATAAAAAAATAATAACAAATATAAACCCAAAATCGCTAAGAAAAACCAAAAACAAAAAATTTACAACAAAGATTTTAAACAAAACATAAAATTATGGTTGATTAAATTATTACGTTTTGTACTTCTGGTATAAAACATAATAATGTAATCAGTCGTAATTTTATTAAAATAATAACGTAAAACCCTATCTCTAAAACAAAAACTGAATATACACCAGCCCAGCAGTTACATCATTGCCCTTGCAATGACATAAACACAGTTATAGAAAAAAAAAAAATGGTTTAACGAATATAACAACTGTAATATTTATAATTATAAGTAATATTTTTAGAAGTGTATTACACAATTAATTATTAGATTAATTATAAAATAAATCAAATAAGAATTAAAATGGTCTATTAAATATAAATTTAAAAGCAGCAATGACAATAATATTAACAATAATTATAACAATAATAATTATTAATATTAACAATAAATATTAATATTAACAATTATTAACAATAATTATAGCAATAATAATTAATAAACTAAACGACAATTATTACAATAATAAAGTAATAATATAATTTTAAAAAGTCAATATTAATTTTCAAACAACAATTTTAATATATAAGTACAGACAGGGAAAGTTACAAACAGTATATACTGACAAAATGTAACCACACAATACAAACATTTATTGTAAAAAAATAATTTATAATATTAAAAGAAACTAAACTTTTACACACAAGAATATGACATTATAATGACATATATGAGAGTTTAATAAAAATAAATGAGAATATAAACATCGCACAAGACAATATAATCAATGCACAAAAATACATAACAATACTAAACAAAGAAACACAAGATACAACAATACTAAACACGACAATACTAAACAAAGATACAACAACCAATTAAAACATCTAAAAACTAACAATCATAATAAATAATAATAATAGTGGTAGTTGAATAAAAATGCAACAGCCAAACAAACAGTAAACTATAACAAAAACAAAAATATTGAAGAAAGTTATAAAATCAAACTAAAAGAGTAAAAAAACTAATCAAAGTTAAGATAAATTTAAATTAAAAAATATAATAACAATAATAAAAAATAATATAATGTATCAAAATGAGTGATCTAATAATAAATTGTATTAAAATAAATAAAAAAAAAGTGTAATATTAAATTAAGATAAAAAATAATAGATACAAATAAAAACTATAAAAATTATCTACTCTTTTAATAAACTGATTTTTTCTTTTTATCTTTTCATCAACTTATCTCTTTTTTTTTTAACTTTTTTTTTTTTCCCTTTTCTTTTTCTTTTTTTGTTAAGTAAACATCGATGTTCGAAATTTCTTTTATTTGTTTTTTTAAATGTTATTTTTGAGTGTTTATTTTTTAAAAGTTTCTTTTTTATGTTTTTTTTTTTAATAATAACATAAATGTCACTGATGATGTTATACTGAAGTAGGAACAAGATTAATGTACATAAGTCAAATAACGGGTGTGGATTGAAAAATAATTAATAATCAATGAGTTAACCATACCAAATAATAAGTTAATAAATAATTATCATTTACCATTTACTTTATTGTCTTTATTATCTTCATATTCTAATACATTTGAATAAGTTTCTTCATTGTTTTTAACTTCATGATGCAACGTTTTCAAAAATTCTGCAAATGCACCAGTATTATTCTTCAGTTCCTCATAACTACCAGACTTAAATAAAATGCTCTTGTATATAATAACTCTGCTCATATATATTTATCTGTGTTATTTTCACAAAAAGTTTTAAATACTAGCAATATTTTATTAATAATACAACCATTATAATAAATGTATTATAATACATTCAGCTAAAACTTTATGTTGTATTTAAAAATACTTTAGCAATTTTTCTAACATAGTTTTAAATTATAATAATAATATAAGCATGATAAAATTAAATGATGCTGCGTTGAGCAGATCTTGTTAAAACTTTAATATAAAAAATTTTCCATATGGAATATCTTTAAATCTTGCATATAAAATAACTTTCCATGGTCCATGGAACTTGCCAACCACGATTCTGCAGTATAGTCAGATAGGCAGCTCAGTTGCATGGTGCTTCCATAATGCCAAAGTATCAGTTTATCCTGCTTTTTTGGAGTTATTTATTTTTTGGTATTTTTCCATTTTTAACTTAATAGTTCGATTTGTGTTTGCCTGATGTAAGTGTCTTTTTCATATCCTTTGTTAAAATAGCTTTATACTTATCTTTCTCCCAACTTACGAGCATCAGAGTAGTTACCATCATTTTAACATTTAGAGCTTAAGGCAGATAATGAAAAATTCTTAAAGTATTCTATGATTTTAGGGTGGTTGTCAATGAGTCTTTGAATTATCAACATCAACAAGATATCCAAGGATGGAGGTAATGCAAATGCAAGTAGTTTAAGGTCTTTGTCTAGAAATCTCTTATTTACTTCTGATAATAAGTCCATCTAGAATTTCTTTACTGCTTGGTTGCTTACCTGATAAAATTAAAAAGTGCTATCACTTTCTGCAGTGACATGTCAATTTGGATCTCTTTGTGAGACAATGAAAAAAAAAATTAAATAATTCTTGAACTGATTTTTGCACTGAAACAATAGTTTCAAAGAGTAGGAACTGTTTATCGGTAAGTATGGTTTTTATCCAATTATTATCTTTTTTTAAAGGACCTTCTGTCCCATTTACTCAACATATCATAATGACTGTTCCATTTCATGACTAATGTGGAGGGTATTTTGAGATAATTCACATCTAATGTGGAACAAGCAACTTTCAAGAAAGTACTGAAAGCTGTTGATTAGTGTAGCCAGGTAGTGAATGAGCTGGTTTTACAAAAAGCATCTATCAGTTTTATTCAACTGTCCTTTGCAGTAGGTTGTTAAGCTTATGTTCATTGCATGTAACAGAGCCTTCTTCTTTAGTCATAAAAGATTCACTATTATTTAGAGCACACACCATATTTGATGTCTGATCAAAAACACACAGTTAATTAGGTATTTTTCTTAATGATTATGGATTTGAGAGTGTATTTTCATGTGGTTTTGCAATGATAACATCATTGTGTTGTTTTTCAAAAATGTACATTTCCAATGTATATTTCTTTAGGGCAAAGCCTGACAAGATTTAATGTAATGTAACAGATACGTATGACTCATTTTCTCTTGATATTCAGTAGTCAGTGGTTATGGCAACCTAATTAAGATCTATGAGCTCTTTTCCATAATTTTGTGCACAGCACGCTTTAGTATGGTGAAGTTAAAGGATTTTATTTTTTTGAGTCATTAAATGTTTTATTGTAGCACTTGGTAAAATTTTGTTTATAAATCTAAAATTTTCAAAACCAGCAAAACGGAATAACAAGCACACATTAGCAGCCAAAGTAATAACTTCATGATCAACTAATAATTGTCAATCTTGGTGTAGCCACTTTTTTGTAATCACCTTCATACAGAGAATGAGAGGTTTAAAGGTTACGCCTCTTGTGTTTCCAGAAGGTCTCACCTCTTGTGTTTCCAGAAGGTCCTGTCTCAATGAGGTTTAGTTCATCCTTTAGTTGTAATCTCACTTGTGAAAATAAAAAGGGGACAAGGGGTAGGGAATTTATTTTCCTATTTAGTTATTGTATAGATACTTACTTGTAAATGATAAACTTATAATAACTAATTTATAATAACTATATATGATATTAAAAAGTCAAAAAAAAAAAAAAGTCAATTGTCAAAAAAGGTTATATTTGGTAAGTTTACTTTTATATTGATCAAAAAACTAAAAAAAATATTAAAAAAAAAAAAAAGTTTATAAAATATCTTTTATTTAAAAAAAGAGGTAAAAAAAAGAGTATTTTTTTATATACTTTTTTTTCTATAACAACTAATAACATAACTGAGGATGAGTTTGGATTAAGACATAGTACTAAATGGACAGATACAAAATATAAAATATAAATGATCTTAAATAAGCACTACTTTCCTATATTTTTGTTGAAAATGCTACAAATTATAGACTTATAAAAGGCATAACAAATTATGATTAGATTACTTTACTTGTTGAGTGCTGAACATAGAGTTAGAGACCAAGAATTGTGATACTATGGAGGACATTTAAAGTAATGACACAATAAAAGAAATTAAACTACTGAAGCAATAACAAACAATTAATTAGCAATACCACACATTTAAATCAAATGTTGCAATACAATATGAAACATTGAATAATAAATGCGAAGTCATACAATATAATATGCTCCTTAAAAATTTCTATTATATATATATATATATATATATATATATATATATATATATATATATATATATATATATATATATATATATATATATATATATATATATATATATATATATATATATATACATATATATATATATATATATATATATATATATATAAATATAAATATATATATATATATATATAAATATAAATATAAATATATATATATATATATATATATATATATATAATATAAATATATATATATATATATATATATATATATATATACATATATATATATATATATATATATATATATATATAAGGGGCTATTCTAGAAATAAAATTGAGTATCTTTTTTTTTGTTTTTTTTTACATTTTTTATAGCAAATATTGTTTTTTTTGCAAAAAAAACAATATTTGCTTTAAAAAACGTAAAAAAAAACATAAAAAAAGATACTCAATTTTATTTCTAGAATAGCCCCTTATATATTATATATATATATATATATATATATATATATATATATATATATATATATATATATATATATATATATATATATATATATATACATATATATATATATATATATATATATATATATATATATATATATATATATATATATATATATATATATATATATATCAGGGCTCGAATTGAGTTTTTTTTTTAATTAGTTTTTTCTTAAAAAAATATTTTTACAATTTGTTTGTTTTTTTGTTTGCTTGTTTTTTGTTAATTTTAAATTTCTTTTCTAATTGAGCTTTTTTTTGGTCATTCTTAAAAGTAATGCTTTTGTCTAAGATTTTTATTAGGGGTCATAAAGTATGTCATGCTAAATTTATCTTTTGAATAGAAGTATAATCATTTCTCTCTTGCACAGAGATTTTATTCAACATAAAGCACTTTTAAATTTTAATTACGTTAAATCTCTGTGTGGAAGCCAATATTATTAGCCAATATTATGCGGTAGTGGTGTAGTGGTAGAGCGCTCGCTTCATAAACGAGTGGTTCCGAGTTCGATCCCCACCACGTCCCTGGTAGTACCGCGCTCAACTCGTTTCTCTGCGCAGCGGCCTTGTTCGTCAAGGTTCGTGTTTCGGAGTTATAGAGTTGAGAGAGGGTTATAGCCACAAAATAAGTAGCCTCCTCGTCTGTAGTGGCCTTCTCGGCCTTGAGGAGGTGAAGTAAAATTAAAAAAAAAAAAAAAAAAAATTTTAAAGTTATTTTTATTTTAATTTACTAAATGGTTAAGTAGATCAAAAGTACATTATAGTAAATTTACCTTAAAACAACCAATTAAGTTACAAAACAATTATTCTAAACAACCAGTTAAGTTACTACAGTAACTCACAGCTACTCATCTATTAAATTTACTTAATATACTCAAAGACTCACAAAAATTAGCCATCTATTTATATCTTATATGTTGTTAAAACATAATATAAGCTTCTAACTAAAAATTATTTGAACAAGAAATCTTGATTAGAATATAAAAGACGCAATACCATTTTTTTATATTTTATTTAAAGCGATATCAATATCAAATATTTTCTATAAATATACAAGTTTTTTTTAGGAATTTTATTTAAAAAGAAATCTATTTGAACAAACTTTGAACAAAATTTGAACAGATTCATTCAATTAATTTTGCAAATGAAATTTGAATTTATAAACTGATTATAAATTTAATTCAGCAGCATCCGGGATTGTTGCTGAAAATTAAACATAAATCTAGCTACAGTTACAGTACCAGATTTAAAACATAGTGCAAGTGAGGAAGAAAGTTTTATTTAAATCATAAACATTTTTAATACTCAGCATAGTTGAGGAAAGATTTGCATTTCTTAAAAACAAAAATTTACATTTTTAAACTTTTTTTTGTGTTTTCTAATTATTTTCGACTATTGCTGTTATATATTTTTAAAAAGTAGAATTGAAGCTTTTCTTATATACTTTATTGTTTTTATATAAATCTTTTTTTAACCAAAGTATCAAACAAAACAAAACTACCACTAAAATACATAAAACGCAGTGACTTCTGTTCCATTCAAAACAAAAAAAAGAACCACAGCTGAAGTTAAAGAGTTGAAGTTGAAGTTTTTTCATAAACACCTCTGAAGGCAATATGTCGCTTCTGGAACTAAAACACATGAAACACTCAGGAGTAAGCATAAAACAGCCTGTAATAAACTGACATAACAAAAAATAACTATTTAAAGATATGAACATCAGTTAGCTAGTGTTTTCAAAACTGACCCAAAGAAACTTTATGACCACATCAAACAAAAAGAAGAAACAAATAACTTCCTTCAAGCTCTCTAAGATAACAATAAAAACATAGTAACCAATGGTACTGTAATTTCAGATATTCTAAACAATTACTTTCATTCTGTATTCACTACTGAAAAACCAAATTTGCTGCCAGAATTTGAATCACGTACAA